CTCCTAAGGGAGGAAGTCCAATTGTTGATTCATGAATTGACTTATCTGGAATGTGAGGGGGCTGAGTAGGCCCTTTAAACAAGGGGAAATGGGGAATTATCTAAGGAGACACAAAATTTGTTTAGCTGGCTTGTTGGAGACAAAAGTCACAGAGAATAAATTTATTTCTAGCTTGAATAAAGTTGCTAAGGGATGGAACTATGCTAACAACTATTCATATGCAGCAAATGGTAGAATTTGGGTATTGTGGAAACCAACTGATGTCTTTTTTTTTTCTTTTTTTTGGTTTAAACTGATGTCTTTGTCATATCCTGGAGACCCGCAGTCAGTATATTCATCGCTATGTTACTGACACACACACAAACTTTCAAAGTGCAATAACAGTGGTTTATGGAAGTACATGTAGTGTGGAGAGGCAAACACCATGGACAGGTTTGTCCAAGAACCATGAGTGATTTCAAGACTTCCTACTGCCTGAGGATAGAATTGGAGGGCAACCTGTTGCAGATATTGAGACCAGAGATTTTCAGCAGCTTATAGACTCTTGCTGTAGCTGACATAAAATCACCTGGAAGAATTTTTATATGGACAAACAGATTCTTGAATGTACTTGCTAATGATGTCCATTTTATGCATATTGTAACTCACTGTTGGATCCAGAACACGCAGGGTAGTTCCAAGTTTGGAACGAATTGAAACTATGTAAGGAAATCCTAAAGCAACTGAAACATGATGGTTTGGGAAGTGTGGACAGAAGAGTGGAGGAATCTAGAAGGAAACTTAAAGGATATTCAAACTCTATTTACTATGAATGCTACCACTAAATTACTAGAAAGGGAAAGAGAAGCTCAAATAGAAATGACTAAATGGCTGACTATTCAGGAAAGAATTTTGAGACAGAAGCCCAAAGAACATGGGAAATTAACTGGAGATGGCAACTATAAATATGTTTTCAACTGTATGAAGGCAAGGGCTAGCTCCAATACTATAGTTATGCTTAAGGATGACAATGGTAATATCTTGCAGAAGTAGACTGACATAGAGGAGGAGATGCTAAAATTTTCAGTTGCTGACAGACTTCCTAGTATTGATATGACTATCATGAGACAAGGGGCAAGGATCACTCAGCAACAACAAAGGGAAATGTGTCTGCAGTCACCAAGGATGAAGTGAAAATGCCCTATTTGCAATTGATGACAATAAAGCACCAGGTATAAAAAAAATTGGGTCAAACTAGAAGAACTAATAAGCTGAAAGTACTTTGGGTGTTTATCAAATGCATAGAGAAGGCAAAAGGTGCTTATAAGCCAGAAGCCAGTTTGACCAGCTTATAAGCTTTACCCAAACACCCTCTAATTAAATTCAGAAATCCAATGGAACTTAAAAAAAACTTCCTCAAAACTCTATTGTAATTTCTTTAAAGTTAAAAGCATTTAACGACACTTGATTTGTTTCCACTAATGGAAAAACACACATACAGAAGCAAGCTATCACAAAATTTAATACCCTATAAGCATCAAGTGCTAATTTACTATCACAAAAACTGAGGATAAAATGATCAAAAGTGATATGCTGAATGTCCTGCAAAATGGTAAATTGGTTATATACCTTTTCCTATAACCAGCTCAAGAGGTTGTTGTTCACGCCATGTATCTTCAAACTTGTGCTGGGTGCTTTCAGCCCATGCCCTGTAATGCACTATAAAGATAATTCTAGTCATTTAGTGCACTTGAAAGGGAAGAAAGACAGACTCTACCTCACCGAAATTTGAATGATTATACAAGAAATACAACAAATAAACTGCAAATTTAACTAGTGATTGCAGTGATAGACTGCACTGTATCTGTGTGGCATATAATGGATAATGTAGGTAATAGTTTCTTTTGGTCATTATTCTTTACTCTTGATGTAATTACTACTGAAATACGCTATTGGTGTATCTCTTTGTTTATAAAATGTCGCCTGTATCAAAAAAATAATGGTTAATGTTGGTCACCATTAAAAGTATAATGTTTAGCTGGGCCAAAGAAGCACTAACCCAAAGAAGAAAAAGATATGCATGAGCTAATCGATTCAAAGAACCCACAAAGATTTATTTTTAAAAAGAAGAAGAAGAAGAAGCAGGTATTATATTTCCTAAACATGTATAAAAGATGAATGCAACAACTGACATTTGAAGAGCACTATTTAGGAAAACAAGATACATGTACTTTAACAGAGAAGATGTTCTCCAAACAATTAAATCAAATAGATATATCTGAACCAAGGTGACAAATAGAATCCTTCTCGATATAATAAGTGAGATTGTTAAAATTACAAAAACAATAACAATTTATCGAAACAGGGGCAGCTTAAAATAGATACTCCAACCAATCAAATATAGTACGAATTCAGTTTTTTCTGAAACCAGAAGATGGTATAGGGCAGGAAGGGGAAAAAACAACCAAACAACAACAATCTTAGCTTTGACTTACCGAAGCATGTTGCGTATTTTGATGGCTTCTGACCATGACCTTCTTTAATAATTTGCTTGGTTACTTTTTCATGGAGGACTTCCACTTCTGAATCAACTTTTGGCGGCCCAGCATCATCCTGTGGAAGTTCTCCATGAACAACTGAAGCGCCTTCAGTGATGATTTCATCAGTACCACCCTGGTCTGCATATAATTTAATTTCAGTAAACAAACCTTCTTCAGAAACAAGTATGAAGAAGTAGTTTAAGACTTTAGGTCTAATTTCACCCGAAAGAATAGCCTTCACATAGAATTGGTCAAAATATGCGGAATTTCTTACTTTTCGTGGAGGATTAGATCCTGTAACTGGGGTCTGTCGCTGACTGATATTGCCCAACAGCCAACAAAGACCGTAATTACATAGATACGAATCTAGAACCTCAATTAGCAGATACATTAGAAACCTTTCTTGGAAGACTCAATTCATTAGATAAGCCTAGTACATAATCACTGATAGGATCATTCCTGAAATTATAAATAATTAATGGTCACTTTGAAGGAAGTTGATCCTAGAAGACTAACCTCATACTGAGACTGTCCCTACAACTACTCTTTACAGTTAAACATTAATACAAAATAACAAAAAAAAAAAATTCTGCTGATAAGCAACCATCACTTTCAACCCTAAAATTAAATTCCTCCATAATCCATGATCCCAATCCTTAACTGCATGACATAGGGCTAGTCACTAGTTAAGTGCACTTGCAAAATAACAAAAAAAAAGGGCAGGAGGAACTAATGGTGACAACATAAATTACAATACTGATGGTGAAATCAGTTGATCTTCATAGAAAATTGCTTCCGTTTGCATTGAAACATTCAAAAGGAAAAAAAAGTTCTCAATTATGGCAAAGTACTAGTAACTTCATCACTAACCAAATTTCCTCCAAGTTTTAAGAGATTTAAGATCATAGTCTAAGAAGTAGCTGGAAATTGCTCTCTCAAGAACAACATGAATGTCTCTAAAATACTAGAAAATTCTAGAACACGTAACTCTACAACTGAAGTCAACCCAGCATTACCATTTCAGTGAATCAAACTTTGAAATTTACTTCATATTCCAAAATCATATTAAACAACCATCATCCAATTAAAGGGGCAAAGGTGAATAATAACCAGGGGAAATTTTCAAAGACCAACCATACCATAAGATTAGCTATTCAAGGAATCAGAATTAGATCACAATCATCTGAATTAAGAGCTAATAATCCATAAATGATAGTATTATTTAGCTGAGTAGCAAAAGAAAGCCATAGGTTGACGCATTACCAACTGATGAATTCTGCAGCTGCTGCTCCTCTTCTACACCAGCCATTATTCGAAATCTTGCTCAATTTTCTAAAACCCCAGAATAGCAGCAGCAACCCAAGTTCCCTTCACTTCAAATAACGATTGTATTATGAAAACTAAACTGGGACTCGAAAGAAACAAAAAAATCAAATCTTTATCAAAACCCACTAAGAAAAAATCACAATTGAAGTAGTTTAGCTCAGAAATCCAACAATTTACAAATATTAATTAACTGGGATTTCGCAAGAAGAGCAACAATAAGTAGAAGTATTACCAAGTACTAATCTTCTTCACAATTGGGAGTATTTCTCAGCGCATGTAGTGTCAAAGTCGCAAGAAAATTTAGGTGGGTTTATGACTTTGAAATTATCGAAGAAGATTCGAGATCGATAGCGAAACGGCTTATATATGAGCACTATATGCCAGTGAAGGAGTTTGACCAAGCAAAATTAAATCTCTCTTCTTGTTTTTTAGTTCCATATTTTTATTCAATTCAGTATAGTTTATTTTTTTTCAATTTTACCTGATTTTAAAATATTTTAATCGACCTTTATTTATTTGATTTTTTAAAATTTGAAGGGATAAGACACAAGTATCTCTAGATTATGTCCGAAATTTTCGAGACACACCTTAACTAAACTAAAATCTTATTACTCTCTAACCTCATTTCTTTTGTAATTTTGTGTCCGAAATTTTCGAGACACACCTTAACTAAACTAAAATCTTATTACTCTCTAAACTCATTTCTTTTGTAATTTTGTACACCTTTTAACTTACGTGACACACTCCGTAACTCCACTTAATGAAGCACGTGGAAATGTTGGGTGGCCACGTAAGCTATAAAGGTGTAGAAAATTACAAAATAAATGAATTCAGGGATAATAGGACTTTAGTTTAGTTAAAGTGTGTCTCTCAAATTTCGATCATACTCTAAGGAGGTAGTTGTGTCTTAACCCAAATTTTAATAAACCAGCAGTTTGGCTTAATCCAGTTTAAAAAGAAGGCAAGACATATAAGTAAATACATTTATTCTTGTATTACAAAAGAGAAGGATTTCTTAAACCCTCGTGATAATACTTGCATTAGCATAGACGGTCTACATCACGACAACGACGGCTAGACATAACTTCTACAAAATGCTAATCTAGTCCTAGACAACACAGTTCTCTTCAACCATAAAGTACATGTCTAAATGAACTATGAGTGAAACATGACTACAACACAAGAGATATCATCACGGCTCCCCTTCACAAGTGCTTCAGTGATCAACTCTTCTGCTGCTTTCTTCCCATCTTCTATCCCTCTTACGCATTCTGCCACTTCCTCGTTCGACATCACCTGCATTATAAATGCGTCATTCTTCTTGAAACGGATTAACATATACACAGGCCCGCATTATAAATGTGTACCATCATGGTTTTTACCAGATTCATCATGTTGTAAAAATACTACTATCATTCTTACAAGTTGTTGCACTGTAAATTATACCTTCCACAAGCCATCACTTGCCAAGATTATGCAATTAGTGTCATTGTCTATCTTCTCAATTGTCACACTAGGTTCCACAGTGATATGGTCCTTCACTTTTGCGTCTCCAAATGCCCTTGTCATGGCTAGTTGGCCATCCACCCGCGGGACATTCCCTGCATTTTAAACAACGTTGAGGAAACAGCTAAGTAAAACGAATATTAACGTTATTCTACACTAGCTAGCTGAGGATTAATAAAAGCAGGTTCTCGGGTAGGCATCCGGATGCAATGATTGAAATGCCAAGTACAAGGAAAAACACACATCGCGGAATGAGATGGAATAAACATTCTTTTTTAAATAACTGCAGGGTCTGGCGGTCTGGGCTAAAGCTTAGGCGCACTTCGACTAATTCCACATGTAATTACTGTACAGAATTTCTCTGTTCTTTGACAATATATCTGACATTTTGTCTTCTAATCTATTCTTTAACCTACTCCAGAAAGGAGCTTAGAACGGAACTCCATTTCCTCAGTTTATATTAGTCAAAATGGTATGTATAACCTTGACATCCACGACAGTTCCGCAATTAAGTGCAAATTTGAAGCAACGATCAAGGAATCTGTATGAGATGAGTGGTAGTTATACCTGGCATCTTAATAACAAAACCTCCTTTACTCTTGACTACCTCTTTTTCTTCCTCCTTTTGCGGTTCATGGTCGACTGTTATTTGTTTGACCTTCCCCTTCGGAATGAGTACTGCACGTGAATCACCTACATTGGCCACAACCAGATATTTCTGATCAATCAATATAGCTGTCACCGCTGTTGAGCCACCTCGTGCACCAACCACATTCTCCAGAATGTGGTTATTCGTACTTTTATATGCCTTCTTAAATGCAGTCACAGGCTTCCTCCAAAAATCAGGCTGTTCAGGATAAAGACGATTACAACTCTACTAACTTGTTGAGTTAACTAATTCAAGTGTATACTTTCCAAAACTTTTAGACAAGGTGATCACACAATTCAACATACCTCACTCAGTATATTATCGAAAAGATGGCTTTGCAAATATTCTGCAACCTTACGTCCTGAATGACCGTCAAATATTGCATAGAGCCCAAGATCATGTCCATCCATTTTCCTTTTTTCCGCCACCAGATAATCTTCCATTCCATGTTTCATCTTCCCTTCAACTAAATGAAATCCGTGGCTGACACGTCTCTGCTGCTTCTTCTCTGCATCACTGACTTCTACATCCCCGTCATCAACATCTTCTCCATCATCCTCATCTTCGTCTTTGTTCTCTACATCATCCTCGTCACGTTTTCTGGTACTGTCAACTTCTCTATCCGCACCATGCCCCTCTCTCTCCTGTAAAGGATCACAAAATTAGAAATTGAGTTACTAACATTACAATTGCTTACCAAAAAGTACATTTCTTCATCAGGAAATACAAGCAAAGTTGACTGCCTAAAAACCAAAAAGCAAGTGATATTTGAAGTCGTGCGCAATAGCCTAACATTGGTTAAATTTCACGTATGGTCACTGAATTTTACTCACCATGAAACTATGCATTTACATTTCACCTATTATAACAAGTAAAGACGAACATTTTTTACCCGTAAATCACCCTGATTGACACTACATGAAAAGAAAATATAATCCCTTGCAAACAAACAACTGAAACTAAAGACAAATCCAGAAAAGAATAGCAATCCTAACCTTCAAAAGAACGGAGGCTACATCATCCGGCGTTGATGTCCTCTGCAAATAAAATCAAAACAATGCTAATCTGTTCTATCATTGTTGATGAAAATTACAATATTATAATTGAAAATAAAAAAAAAATCTGAATGAAGCGTGGATATCTCGCTCTCCCGCACCACACTAGATGATAAAAATAAAGGGAGGTGGTATACCTTTATCTTAATGATCCCTGAATCACCTGATTTTCCCCTCTGCAAGGAAGAGAAGAATTCAGAACACAATAGCTAACACCTAATGTCGCTATCCTAGAATTTTGAATCCATAAAGTTCAAATCTTAGTTTTGCGCACAACACACACATTGCCATCAAATTTCATTCAGACACTTAAACTATGTTCTGTTCCAATTGAGAAATAACAAAGTGTTCACATTAGAAACTTTCAATGACTAATTATACACGTCATCTTCAATATGTTTATCCTCAAATTGAAATATGTTTGAAGTTTTACGACTTATTGAGACTAATTCTCATAATTAAATAATTAACTTATATGCGTAATAAACATTTAATAACATCTCAAAAAAATCCAAAATTTGAATGAAAACATTAATCTCTTACCTTAACTCTAACAAAATCAGAACCTTCCATTTAATGAATAAAATCTTATTTGTTTGCTTGCTTACTACTACACAAATTTATACAAAGTGAAAGAGAAGCATATATATAGCGGTGGACGTACACGTGGTGTACTCTGAGAAATCGGTGGTTGCGGCCGCTTGCTACGGTGTCTTGCCGCCGCAATTGTGATAAACCAACAAAATATACATTAATCCTGTAAGAAATATATGTATTTATATATCCAAAAAAAACAATCTCTCTATCTCCCGACAAAATTAAATATTGAAATTAAAGAGAAGAGTCTCAAATACTCAATATATAGAGAAAGCTTTACCCAAAGAACTAAAAACAGGGAAGAAAAATTAGTGCTTTCATATATGAATTATATGATAGTTATAATAGAACATATGTACATTTTACATAGAATTGATATTTGCCAACCTAAGCTTTAAAAAAAATAAAAAAAAATAGAAGTTTCATAATCCTCTATTTCTATAATGTTGTATTCTTTTGAAAAAGCTCTACACAAAATTCCTCATTTCATGAAAGTTCGATCGACTTAACCACCTTCCTTCTGATCAAATGGATAGGAAGAAGGATACAACAAGAAGAAAGATATCAGAATACGTTCAAGTACGTCAATAAGAAGATCTCAAAATTGTTTACAATCAGAAAATTATTGGCAGCACAATGATGCAAAATTTAGATAAAAAGAGAGATTCTTCAAGCTTGCTTTTGCTACCCCTCTCAATCTCTTAAAAACTTGTTTAACTTCCAGCTGCCTTCAAAAAGTTGTCATATGGACTTGAAGCAGGTAGTGCAAAGAAGTTGGATTCAGCTGCACATGGCATTGGAGGGATAGTAGTGATAAAGGGATTCGACTCAGAGGGACGCTTCACATGTGTAGGTTCAACCTGCAATATACATGGAGTTTCACAGCTGAAAACTATGGATATTAATGAACATGTACACTAACAAGGAAAGTGTGAATGTATTAAAGTCGAAGCAAATTCAATGAAGCAACAACTGGTACCATAGAAAAGCGGCCATAAACTAGCATTACGATGAGAAGCTGCTTCTTAGTAGCCCTCCACAATGCCACTTTGAAGTCTACCAACCTAAAGGTTCCTTTTTAAATAGTACGAAATGGATTTTTCTTGAAAGGAAAAATGGGTAAATGCTATTCCCTCCCTTGTAATGCTACATAATATACCGGGTTTAAAAACTAAATCTTTCAGTCTTGTTATGGAAATGATGGATGTCAAAACTATAAGACGAACACAATTCTTTTATACTTACCGGAGATATCACATTATCACAGTTGTTTGCAGGCTTCATATTTGACAAGAAAAAGTCAAAAGAATTTTCTTGAGACGCTTGGGCAATCATTAGATGTGACATCTTTTGCTGCTTCCCTGCTTGAAGGGCCTCACAATGGCCTGCCATGTCCTTGAAAGTCATATCAGAAGTTGAGACAGAGAGTCTTCCTCCTTGAAGTGTTGTATCAGATACCTGCATAAGTTTCAGTAAATGATTATAGAAAGTTAACCATGTCTAGGGAAAGAGACTTGCCTACATGATATTATCTCAAAGGTCAGAATTACTACTATTACGCAATGGAAAAATAACTTACAACCATGCCCATAGGGCTCCCGCTCTGTTGAGCAACCACCCCTATTTCTTATGAACCCTCTCAATTATTTATAGGGGCACAAAAAAAAACCTAAAAAAATTCTCAGTTTTCACTTGAAATCATTGATGAAATTCTCACTTGAAATCATTGATGAAATTCAAAACTATATCTGGGAAAGAAATGGCAAAAAAAAGCTTTGCCATTCTAGTAATATCACCACCAGATTGGAATTTTTGCATAGGAATGACCATTGAAAATCTGTAATTCCCCATTCAAGAGGTCATGAAGCTAAAATTTCAGGCCCCTATTTATCCACAGAACTGACCAGAACATAGCCCAAACTGTTAAAGAATGACAAAAGTCCCACATCGGTGGTTAATGAGATGGGTGGACTCCTTATAAGGCTTGGGCAATCCTCCTCCCTTTGAGCTAGCTTTTGGGGTGTGAGTTAGGCCTAAAACCTAATTTAACATGGTATCAGAGTAGGGCTCGTCTCACCCGATGTTGGGGCCCCCAAAATCAAAATTTCCCACGCACCAAATGCTAAGCACTGGGCGTGAGGTGGGGTGTTAAAGAATGACTAAAAAGTCCCACATCGGTGGTTAATGAGATGGGTGGACTCCTTATAAGGCTTGGGCAATCCTCCTCCCTTTGAGCTAGCTTTTGGGGTGTGAGTTAGGCCTAAAACCTAATTTAACATGGTATCAGAGTAGGGCTCGTCTCACCCGATGTTGGGGCCCCCAAAATCAAAATTTCCCACGCACCAAATGCTAAGCACTGGGCGTGAGGTGGGGTGTTAAAGAATGACAAAAGTCCCACATCGGTGGTTAATGAGATGGGTGGACTCCTTATAAGGCTTGGGCAATCCTCCTCCCTTTGAGCTAGCTTTTGGGGTGTGAGTTAGGCCTAAAACCTAATTTAACATGGTATCAGAGTAGGGCTCGTCTCACCCGATGTTGGGGCCCCCAAAATCAAAATTTCCCACGCACCAAATGCTAAGCACTGGGCGTGAGGTGGGGTGTTAAAGAATGACTAAAAAGTCCCACATCGGTGGTTAATGAGATGGGTGGACTCCTTATAAGGCTTGGGCAATCCTCCTCCCTTTGAGCTAGCTTTTGGGGTGTGAGTTAGGCCTAAAACCTAATTTAACATGGTATCAGAGTAGGGCTCGTCTCACCCGATGTTGGGGCCCCCAAAATCAAAATTTCCCACGCACCAAATGCTAAGCACTGGGCGTGAGGTGGGGTGTTAAAGAATGACTAAAAAGTCCCACATCGGTGGTTAATGAGATGGGTGGACTCCTTATAAGGCTTGGGCAATCCTCCTCCCTTTGAGCTAACTTTTAGGGTGTGAGTTAGGCCTAAGACCTAATTTAACACAAACCCCTTTTTTTTAGTGACTTAATAGTTTATTCTGGTGAACCTTCACTTCCCCTGTACAACCTTCTTGAGAATGAATAAGGAGAAAAAAGGAGTCTATTTTTTCTTAATATAAAAGAACAAAAAGTTTCAGGACATCTTCCAGAAGTTCCTAGTAAGAATTATGACAGCCAAACTCTTCCTTATCCAATTCTGCAGTTACTATGTGCATGACAAAAAATAGAAGGTAGTATGCAAGCAGAAACGTACCGAATCTAGGAACTGAGTGACAGTTATAAGGTCTGGAATTTGCAGAGTAAGATGTGAGTTGGATAAATTCTGATTCTCAGTTGTTAAACCATCCTCTAAGATGGGCAGAGTCAAGTCCCCAACCTGCTAATAGAAAACCAGGATATAAGATCAAGGTGGTATAGAGAAAAAGATACAAAGACTTAGAAGCAGCTCCAACTACCTCGTCCGAACTATTATCATCAATTGAACCGAATCGGTAGATCTTCCCTGATGTTTCTGAGACTAGCTGAGCTCCCAAAGGACAAACATCATCAGGAAGAAAATCTTTAAGCAACTGATCCTTTATAGCAGCTGTCTTGTTCTGCACATAGGTCAAATATCAAAATGCATTCAACATTGCGTAAGTTATCATTGAATCACAAAATGAGAACATATACAATGTTTACTTTATAAGAATTCCTCAAGCTCTCGACTATTATTGAAGCAAAGTATTCTGTAGTTTGGTTACTAGATAGTTGTATTGCTGAAAGTGATTTCAAGGCATCATCATCATCCTCTTTTGATCCATAAACTTTAACTGCATGCTCTGTTTTACCAGTTACAGCTTCCAGTTTACAGTCATCTACCAGCTGAAGAAAAGGATCAACCTGTTGAAGGCATTAAACATTGAATTAGACTAGACAACATCGCAGGAAAAGCACTGTTTACAATACCTACAAATGAGCACATTGGACAAAACATGACTGATGCAAGTCCTTACTGTTTTTTCTGTTAATGCAGCTTTAGCACAAGCAACGACAGGGATAAAGCTGTACGCTTTAGATAGGAAAATAATCATGGATGTTGCCAACATAAAGAGTGACCTGCGACGTGATGACGGTAGAGATCCTGCAAACACAATAAAAAGATGACAAGAGGCAATGTCAGTGTGTTACTAGGGAATAACTTATCACTAGTTTGATCAAATAATACAGCACCAATTAGCTGTATATCAGATCAAATGCAGGCATTTGTAAAACAACTAAATACCATGCTCTTTTATTCAGATTCAGACCACTGTGTTATACCTTTCCCTGCTATAGAAATGTTCCTCAAAGAAAATGCTAGCTGGAAACTTCGAATAAGAGCCTCATGGCTGGATTTCTGGAAGATGAGATACAAGCAAATCATCAACAGTAGCCTAGTCAACTATTACAAATGTTACGAAGCAAATTCAAGAGTTTTTCTTTCTGATACATAGTCAGCATCTGGGGGAACAAGTAAAACTTAGAACATGAAATTGACTGAAAACAAGAGAAATGTCCAATAACATATACCCTTATCTAACCCTTATCTAATAGTACCCAAATATTTTTATGTTGTTGGGTTGTAACACCCTACATGCACACCCCACAAGATTTTTGTAACAAAAGGTTTTGGACTAATGCAAATATTCTAAATGAATTTGTTTCAATCTGAACATTTGAAGACTAGATTCAGCTGCTACTGAAAATTCCACAATCACATTCGTGTTAGTCCACAGCTTTTCAAAAGAAGAAAGATAATTATAGGCTTTATTTATCCACCTCAATATTTTTAATATTACACTTCCAGTATCTTTGCTTTCCACCCCTGGTCTTCGATTTTGAAATCCTGGAATTTGTGTTTATTTTCTAGAAATCCATTCGTACTAATTTCATCATACCAGTTTTGTTTTTGCAATCTATCTCGTCACACAAACGTCATATAACAACATTATCACAAAAAAGAAGCATATCTTCAACAGTAAGAAAAATTGGCTCTGCACG